AGGAGACAGAGAGAGAGTGACGAGAGCGAGCGAGACGCGAATTCTCGTGTTTTGGATAGAGGTCGTGAAATCTGTTGCCACACGTCCAAGTATTTTGGCAAACATTTGCACGGCAATTCACACCTCCCCCCCCCCCCCCTCGACTGTATCCGAAGCCAAATATCGCGCGCCCGAGGCGAGCCTGAGAACGGCAAGAGCGTTCGAATTCCCGCACGTGCAGAACACATGTCTGTCAAGACGTCCTCCTCTACTTACGAACGTTCGACTTACATACTTTCAGAGATACGAAAAAAACCCTGGGTCCGTTGCACGTCCATTGCCCGTTAGAAACTGAGAGTCGAAAAGTTCAATCGACGAGCAATTGAGGGGGGTGGTGGCATCTACAGGAGATGTCGACACCGTACGAACTGATTGAAATGATTCTAGATTTGAAGCTTTCGTACTGCAAGGATTCATATTCTTGGGTTTTTCGGTTAAAGTCACGTAGGCAAAGAAGACGGAAGCTTGTGTTGCCTCCGAAAACGTCGTGTTTTTATTTAGTTTTATTTACTTTTATTTAATTTTAATTGTTTTACCTACGTGACTTTACCGAAAAAACCTAAGAATATGAATGTGATTGAAATGGACAGGCGTAAACTTGGACTTACGGACACATCGTTTACGAACGGACCTCTAGAACCGAACTCGTTCGTAAGTTGAGGAGTCGCTGATTGCAAATATAACGAATTGTTCTTATTGTTGTTAAACACGTAATAGTAGGAGTAAGTAGGCTTTCGCACTAATATTATTCATAATAAAGGGGTAAAGTCACGTAGAAGGGAAATAATAAAATAATAAAAATAAAACATAATAAATTATTCTCACGACGTTTCGGCCACAACGCAAGCAGCCGTCCTCAGGTGAGACCAGGTCTGTTGTGACTTTACCGAAAGAACCAAGAGATGAATCCCTTGCAGTCACGAAGCTTTAACTCGAAATGTATTTTATTATCTTTATTTTTATCATTGTATTACTTCCCTTCTACGTGACTTTACCGAAAGAACCAAGAAGATGAATCCCTGCAGTCACGAAAGCTTTCAATCTAAATGTAGGTTTATAGTTTGTTTGGGGTTAGATCTCGTACCTACTAATGTGTCGTTAAACCCGCCACCACCGACACAGCCAATTAGTGAGGTTAACATCGCGTTAACAAAGCGTGCCATCGAGTTACGAGTTCAGGTGTGTTGAAGGGTAACCAGTTGGTACATTGTGTTTAGGTGACGACACTTACTAACTTAGCTGTGTCGGGATGGTCGCGGTTTCACGACACATTAAACAATTTGATTGTGATGATGATGATGATGGTGGCGATGATGATGATGATGGTGACGATCGTGATGATGATGATGACAGCAATAATGATGATGAAGCCAATGATTTTGATGATGATGATGATAACGATGATGATGATGATCGTGATAGCGACATTGATGTGTTTAGTTTGTGATATTTCTCACACATCTCCGAGTAGCACGGTTGGCAACGTACGGCGCGAAAGGAAGTTCAACACAGCAATGATCATGACGATCAGGGTCGTGGCGACGATGATGGTGATGCCAGCACCAACCCAACATGTGACACTGTCGAACCACATCACACCACACACACCACACACACCACACACCACACACACCACATCACACCACATCACACCACACACCACACACCACACACGCACGGCACATCACACCACACCACACACCACCACACACGCACGGCACACCACACACGCACACCACACACCACACACCACACCACACACCCACACACCACACACCACACACCACACACCACACACCACACACACACACCACCCCACACCACACACCACACACCACCCCACACCACACACCACACCACACACCACACACCACACACCACCCCACACCACACACGCACACCACACACCACCACCACCACACCCACACACCACCCCACATCACACCCCACACCACACCACCACGACGGCACACCACACACAGCACACACCACACATCACCACACACCACACACCACACACCACACCACACGCCACACCACCCACCCACAACCACCACACCACCACACACACCACACCACACCACACACACCACACACCCCACCACACACATCCACACCTCACACCACACACACCACACACAACCACACACACCACACACATCACGCCACACACCACACCACACACCACACACGCACGGCACATTACACCACCCCACACTACATACCACACAACACACACACCCACCACACCACACACACCACACCCACCACACACGCACGGCACACCACACCACACACGCACACTACACCCCACACACGCACGGCACACTACAACACCACTCCACACACACACCCACCCCACCCCACACAACCACACACGCACGGCACACCACACACCACACCACACACCACAACCACACACCACACCACACACCACATACCACACACCACACGCCCCTTACACCACACCACACACACCACACACACCACACGCCCTTACACCACGCCACACACACACCCACCACACACACACCACCAACACACCACACACACACACCACCACACCACACACACACACCACCACACACAACCACACCACACACCACCACACACAACACACACACCACACACACCCACACCACACACACCACACACCACACACCACCACACCACCACACCACCCACCACACACACCACCCACACACACCACACACCACGCACACCACACACACCACACACACCACACACACCACCACACCACACACACCACACCACACACACACACCACCACACACATCACACCACACACACACACACCAACACACCACCACACACACCACACACCACACCACACACACCACACACCACACACCACACACACCACACACACCACACCACACACACACCACACCAACCACACCACACCACCTACACCCACATCCACACACCACCACCCACCACACACTACACCACACCACCACACACACACACCACACCAACACACCCACACACCACAACACACAACCCACCACTACAACACACAACACAACACCACACACCACACACACCACACACACACAGCCACATCACACCACCACACACCACACCACCACACACCACACCACACACACCACAACAACCACACCACACACCACCAACACCACACACCAACACACATCACACACACCACCACACACACACCACACACACCACACACACACACCACACAACACCACACCACACACACACACAACACACACCACACACACCACACCCAAAACACCACACCACACACACCACACACACACACCACACCACATCACACAACACCACACACACCACACACACCACACACACCACACACCACACCACACACACACACACCACACACCCACCACACACAACACCACACACACCACAACACACACCACCACACCACACACACCACATCACACTCCACACACCGCACGGGCAGGAGCAAGTTTTTTTCCCACCTCCCCCCCCCACCCACTCCCTCTCCCCCCCGTCTCTTTTTCCTTGTCACGTTCCAAATGGCCTGCACGAGAAAAAAAAAACCTTATGGTCAAACTTGACAGCCATTGTCACAGCAGTCAGCAGCAATCAATCAGGCAGATGACCCGGCAAACAATAGCTGCAAGTAACGCGGTCACCCCCTCCCCCCCACCGAGCCCCCCACGGTAGCACCCCCCCCACACACACAACACCACTCTGTCTAGAGC